ACTGTCACGAGTGTGTTATACAGGGCAATTATTATAGTCAGTGCCCAATGACATTTCGGTGCTTACAATTTATTTACCTTTTTCTGTTTCTGTATAATCATTTTATAATGCATTTATTCAAGTGGAATATAATTTACGTTGAATGGAATCGAATAAACATAACAATTTAATGTTAAAAGTGTGTGTAAGTGTATTGTAATAAGAGGTATATGAGACTACATTGCAAACCGTACAGGTGTACTTGAGCGGCAAAACACTATTAGACCCCCCCCCCCCCCCCCCGCCAAGAAATCCTGAATCCGCCACTGAATTGGGATGTTACTTAATTTGTTTCCTTATTGATTTGACAACACAATAATGCTCTTCAATTGTGCTTTTTCCTGTACTTATCCTGTTTTTTGTAGTAATAGTATCTCAGAAATCAATATCAATAATAAAGTACTCTTCAGACAAGTCAATAAATATTTCCTCAAAACATTTGTCAATGATCAATAGAAAAGAGATTTTATATATCATCGGGCGGGGAGGGGGCGGGGGTGACCGAGAGGCACGCATTGAGTCATCCCCAGAAGAACGACAGCCCAAGAAATGGAATTTTAACCCTGTTTTCCCTTATGTATTTTCTCTCTTTCTCTCTCTCTCTCTCTCTCTCTCTCTCTCTCTCTCTCTCTCTCTCTCTCTTACTATGCGTCATATTACAAAATGTTGTGTACAAAAATTATAGGAAGTGTATTCTCCTTTGTAATAATCCCAACCTGTTCCTATATTTTAATCGATTTCATGCATGCATAAAAGTGTAACATAAACAAGATTTTCCTGGTAGCACTAAGTGATCATTAGATAAATATATATCAATTTAATTGTATCACTGCGAACACACCACATTGTGATATGCAGTGCACACTCTGCCTGAGTGTCCACTGATATAGGAGATATATATTTTTGTTTGTCCATATTTTCAAAGGGAGAGAAGTTTATATTTATCAAAAAAGTTTTGTAAGTCTAAGCTCCCAAGTGCTATGCACATGACAGAACTTTTTAATACTAGAAGCACTTCCCAGTTGAAGAATTTAGCAACATTTACTCGCCTTATTATGTTGAATTTTTATCAAAAAAACAGAGAAAGAAGATAGTTCAAGCATTTCAGGTAGTACAATTAGAGCTGAACCTACACGTACTCGTAGCGGTAGCATAGTGAAACAGCCTACTTTGTTTACTATTTAGCTTGTAAATAGACTGCATTATACTTATACATTCATTATTGTCACTATCTACACTGTACATGTATACAGGGGCTGCGATTTTTGTTCATGACCGGGGGGGGGGGGGGACGAAATGCGAGGGACGAGGGAGCAGTGGCGTAATGAGCAAAAACGATGGGGGGGGGGGGCAGAAAATAATCAGCATCACCACCACTCTTACATGTTACGCAAGCCCCGGCAACGTTTTTACAAAGTGGGGAGGGGGGGGGGGGCTAAAGTATTTACGATAGCAGGTATAGCAAAGCGAGAGAAGCAAGTGGAGCGTTAATTGGCGTGGGGTCCGGGGGCAAAGCTCCGGCGGGGGGGGGGGGTCAAGGGGCAGAGCCCCATGAAACTCAGGGGTTTTAGGCATTTAATTAAGGTTAGATGAGCATCAAGGGGCGGAGCCCTCGGAAGCTCAGGGGTTTTAGGCATTTAATTACGGTCAGAGTAGCATATTTTGATACCTTATTTGTGACTTGCACTGACATGCAGGTCACTTATTGGAGTGGGGTCCAGGGGGCGGAGCCCCCAAAAGCTCAGGGGTTTAGGCATTAAATTATATCAGATGAGCAACCAGGGGCCTGCCTTAGGGCATTTGGTGGGGTCCAGGAGGCAGAGCCCCCGGAAGCTCAGGGGAAAATGCCATTTCTGCAACATTTGTAAATCACTGGTATCGAATTAGAAATAAACTACGTTTTAATTTTATTTTTGGAGGCGGGGAACTTCCCCAAGCCCCCCCCCCCCCCCCATCAATACGCAGGTGCGAGGGAGCATAGTGAATGAGAGGGGTGAAGGTGACGGAAGTGACTAAACCCTCACAGGATTTGAAGTTTTGGTTGTATTAGAAAATTACATTCCTTAGCAAAACTATAGTATAAAAACAAGCAATACACTTTTTTCACACTTCACTTTTCTCGGTATTTACTTGTACATTTTGAAGGATATTATGTGAGAGAGCGTAGCTGCCGAGTGAGAAAATTTTTGAATTTGCATTTGTCCAAACGCTGCACTATTGGGCCCTCTAGAGCCTAAAGGTTTGTTGCAGTCTTTAGCCAGTATTTGTTATAGATTTTTTTGGCCCTTTTTCAAATTTTGAGGGGGGGGGGGTGACGAGCTCCCCCCCCCTCCTAAGAAAATTTAGGGGGGACGTGTCCCCCCGTCCCCCCCCCCCTGGATCGCCGCCCTTGCATGTATATATACTTTGTGTTTACTAGTTGGTTCATTTTTCATGTTTGTACTTTCATACACTATAATTATACCTATTATCGTTTGTATCTTTGTGTCATTATCCATGTATAATGTATGAGAATTGTATTCATAATTCATGCATTGTTATTTATACTTTTATGTTTGTTTGTACTCTCATACCCCGAGAGGGGGGTCAAAGAGTCAATACAATCCTATTCTATTCTCCATTCTATTCTATCACTTATTTTTTCTTTTAACTCTTCATATTTCGTTTCCTTGTTTGAAGTAGTTTATTTGTCTTTTAGTGATAATCACATTACATGACAATTTTAACTCTTAATTTTAACACTTGGCCAATATCGGATACCAGGGATGTTTTTTTTTTAAACAGCTGCGAGTCAAAAGTTGGAACAGCGGAACGTGGGGGACGTTGAATATTGAATGGGATCGAATAAACATAACAATTTATTTTACAAAGTGTGTGTAAGTGTGCTGTAATAGCAAGTTTACGAGACTACATTGCAAACCATAAAGGTATTAGAGCGGCAAAACACTATTAGACCCATACTAGTTGTGCCCCCCCCCCCCCGCCAAGAAATCCTGAATCCGCCACTGAATTGGGATGTTACTTAATTCGTTTCCTTATTGATTTTACAACACATTATTACTCTTCAATTGTGCCTTTTTCCTGTACTTATCCTGTTTTTCGTAGTAATAGTATCTCAGAAATCAATATCAATAATAAAGTACTCTTCAGACAAGTCAATAAATATTTCCTCAAAACATTTGTCAATGATCAATAGAAAAGAGATTTTATATATCATCGGGCGGGGAGGGGGCGGGGTGACCAAGAGGCATGCATTGAGTCATCCCCAGAAGAACGACAGCCCAAGAGATGGAATTTTTAACCCTGTTTTCCCTTATTTGTTTCTCTCTCTCTCTCTCTCTCTCTCTCTCTCTCTCTTACTATGCCTTATATTACAAAATGTTGTGTAACAAAATTATAGGAAATGTATTCTCCTTTGTAATAATTCCAAACTTTTCCTACATTTTAATCGATTTCATGCAAGCATAGAATTGTAAAATAAAAAATGTTTTCCTAGTAGCACTAAGTTATCATCAAATAAATCTTTATAATATGATTCATTGACTGATTAATGCCTTAAACCATGATATAAATTGATCACCATTAACATGTGAATACAATGTGTGATTGAAAAATTAGTTGGCAAATTATTACGAAGCAGCAAGAGTTAACATGACTCTACCGATAGAGGTCAGTATACAATCTGAACTCGCACGAGGACGTATAGGCCCGAATTTAAAAAAAAAGGAGGTTTGTCGACAAACCTAGGTTTATGTGCGTCATATGACGCGTTTTGACGCGTTTTTACAAACCAAGGTTACTGTTAGAGATCATGGAAAAAATTCAAAAATCATATTCAATAATTATTATGTCGTATTGATTGGTTTCAGTGCCTTAAAAAACACACCAATATATTGACAAGGTTCTTGCAATGGAAAAAACACACAAACACTGCCCCTTAGCTCAAGATGTATACCAATGTCAACCTTTAGAGCCACCTCCTCCCCTATTTTTTTTTTAGCCCGCCTCAATTTTTCATTCATTATTCGATGTTTTTTAAATTCTAAACATGAATAAATACATTTCTGAGGACATCTAATTAATGAGGCAACAAAACAATTTAATCCAAGTGAACCTTGCTTTGAGCAAATTCTCAATAGAGCTTGCACAATACATCAAGAACATGGCATTGACCCGTGAGCATCTCAATGTACAGGAAAAATATTAGATATCAAATAATATGAAGCCCCCTCATCCTCACTTTCAAAAATACCCAGACGAAAAACTAGGAACAACTTTATTTGGAGGCCCTACTTGAAGTTAGTTTGTTGAGAGCATTCATAAGAGGAGGCTTCTATATCAATTTTATCACTTAGTGTATTTCTTTTAAATCTTTATATTTCGTTTCCTTGTTTGAAGTAGTTTATTTGTCTTTTAGTGATCATCACGTTACCAAACACTTGGCCAATATCGGATACCAGGGATGGGATTTTTTTTATTTTTTAAACTTAAGCTGCGAGTCAAGAGTTGGAACAGGGGAACGTGACCCCACCCGCCCCATCTCACCTGCAACTGAACCAACACAATCTGACATAACTATAGTATACCAAAAAAGAAAAATGGTGCCCCTTTTCCGTGCCCCGACAGAACATTGTATGCTAACTTCTTTTTTCTTCTCGGATTTGTGCCCCCAGCACCCCACCATCGAAAACACACTTAATGGATGTCACACACTTTTCCTTGCTGAGGCTCTATTGTTTCCTCCCTCTTACCTCTCACTATCTCCTTTCGTTTCCTTGAAATGTACACTTAAATGTGAAGTAAAGAGGATCGCAGATTATTGGTTCAACCAAAAGGATACGGCGGAGTAGTTCTAGCACTGCATTACCAAGTGGCCACACCCATCTACGTAGCTTTATTGTCAAAATGCGTCCGCGCATGTCAACAAAAGGCACATTGCATCGTAGCTAGCTGTAGCTTAGCTTTACGTCCGTCGCGTCGATCATACGCGTTCCATATTACCGAAATACCACTGAAGGACACAGACACAACCTGTCACTTTTGGTTTGGAATTACTGCTCATTTGGCTGTTTCTGAGGATTCTTAACTGTGAAATAGCGAAGGAGGAGTGTTAGGTATTTAATAGGAATCTATCAATTAGGATTCGAGGTGAGTTTTCTCCAGACATTACTGAGTTGTTGTCGATTGCGATGAGATGAGTGAAAGTTGTCGCGGGATTGGGTATTTGAAATAGTGCGCCTCGGCTTCGCTGTACACTACCGCAGTATAACGGCAATTACATTGCTCGTTTTATCGCGAATGATTGTGTGCTATTCTCGATCTTGCTTTCCTTCTTACAGGTGTACACAGAATTGTACCCCAGGCCCCATCGCATCAGCTCAGGACCGCTTCCGCCCCCCTCCCCATCCCACCCCCTCTCTCCATCACAAATTCTTCTTGCAAATTTGATTAGAGAGTAGAGGGGTCTAGATCTAGAACTGTGTGACTATAGAGACGAGAGAATAATCAAGTTGTAGATTTCTAACTCAAACTTAGACTAGAGTCTAGATTCATTTTGTAACATAAATGATAAAGATACATCATAGAAGATCTAGATCTTCTAGTTCTTTTCAACATTAATTGTTATTGATAATGCATATATTTGTTTTTAGATGTTAATCTTGACTCACATTTTATTGATGATGAACAACTAAAATGATAAGCATTGAAAACAAAATGTGCAAGGTCAAAACTCAGAACAAGTTAAAATTGAAATGGAGTAGATCTAGATTCTATATTAATAAAGGTAGTAAGGTACTATTACTAGACGATGTCCCTTTTGCAGCCAACATCAAATTCTGTAGAAGTTTGCAGGAATTATGAATATGTTGTATGTACATGTATGTCCTATATATATCTGGGTCATTCCATCGGGTTGGGTCATAAATTGTGACATAAAGGTGCAAAATTCAGAGTTGGTAAGTAATTTTGTTATTGTTATATTCTGTTTCTAACACCAATCCTACAATAGATTCCATTGCAATTGTGTGTATTCCTTTGCACACTTTTATTTCATTTAAAATGAAAAAAAAACAGACACAACAAAATACCAACGTACATGTATATCATGGACATAATATTTTACTTGCTCATTTATTTTCTGACCTGAAACTTTGTCACAGTCTGTATACTCCACTTTTTTGCGTAGATAACATTAATATGATGGGAGCAATACAGTAGTTCAGAATACTTGAAACTTGAACTCATCAACATTATATCAATTTATAAACATGAAACAAATAAGGAACTAGCAATTTTCAGATCATGTTTTTTTCTTCTAAAAGGTAATTTTTTCTCTTGCATACATGTACGTATACATCTTGGCTGCATTCTAAAAAAATGTGCCAATTAATTGATGCATGTAACATGTTTAATGAGATGATGACACAAATGAAAGGAAACCTGCAAGATTTATGGTATACAGGTATATTCTCCTCAACACCTCAAGTTACCAATGTTACATGGACATCATGTCTAAGTAACATCTTTACTTTACCTTTACCCGAGATTCTGGAAGAATGCTGTGTTCTCAGCAGTCGGGCTTCCAGTTCAATTTCATTTTCTTCCTTCTCGTAGTTGGGTGTCTTCTTGGTAAGTTTGTCTGGCTCAGTTCTGCATCGGGTATTCTACTCATATGGGGAGCAGAAACGCTTGTCCTTCCATACTCGATCCAGTCTAGCTTTAAAGGCATTCACCATGGTAGCAGTGACTACCTCTTCAGGAAGTGTGTTCCAGGATGATATTAGAGTAGCTATCATCTTATACTCATTGAAACTTGACAGACTACATCAAATGTCATCTAAAATATATTTCATCTATTGAGCAGTCGATAAAAAAAACTAAATATTCATATAAGAGGTATAATGGTAGGTATTAACGATTAACTTTACTTATATCTTCTTCAAAATAGTGACTAGATTGGTAGATCTTTGTTTTTCCAGGAAGGTTTCAAACTTTTTATGACTTGTCATTTTGCCTTCCCTCTCTCTCTCTCTCTCTCTCTCTCTCCCTCTCTCTCTATCGGAGCTGAATCATTAGGGGAGGTAGAGAAGCCATGAATGAAATGGATGCAGCAATCTAATAAATGGGCATGAAAAGAAATAAATAAAACCAATGAGAAAAGAATATTAAATGAGATAAAAATACAACAAAAATGTTAGTTGCTTCTGTGACTTTTCGTTTAAAAATGTGTGCTCCGTTTAATTATTATAAGTACTTCTATCAGTGAAAAAAATACACGGGGGCTCGGGGCGAATTAGCCCCCGAAATGCCCAAAAGAGCCCCCGAAAACCAGAAAAGAGCCCCCATAAATTTGCATAGAGTTCAATGCAAAACAAATTTTAGAATGTTATATTCATGCAGGCAAGCTTGAAAAGTAGCCCCCGAAAAATAAATATTAATTTTTTCCCTGACTTCTATCTAGAATCTGTTGTAAAATCATATCGTAAGAAGGATGGAACAAACTACACAGAAGATTGCAAGATGGATCCGTGAAATTTAAACATTAGCAGTGTTAGCAGGTATTCAAATTATGCAAGGAAACCTGTTTACCTTCTAGACTTCACTGTCAAACACTATCGAGTTTAATACTGACTGACATTTTTTTTTCTTTGGTAATGTAACATACTTTAAATAAGCTGTAACAGGTACAGGTACATGTACATGAGCTTGTAATTGTGAAAATTAAACTGATTGAATCTTTGTGCAGCACAAAACATACGACCATTTACATGTAGTAAAAAGGTCTGAAAATCAGACTATTACTTACTGTAGAATCCTAAAAATAGTCATTTATGACATAAAATTGTACATATGTATATATATAAATAATTCATAAAATAGTGTGTGGCAAAAATAGTCAACTGTGACTGATTGCCAAAGAAAATCAAATCAAGAAAAAGAAGAAGGTGATTGCAATCACTGTTATTAAGTCTAATGGTCATTATTTTCCCACTAAAAGCCATTTTCAAGCCCTTTCGTTTTGATGAAAGTTCTAAAATAATATTTCCTTTTCAGATGCCGTTGGAATTTAACCTTTCCCTTTTTTGGCCACCAAATGGGACATACAAGTAGTACCTTTAAAGGGGAAGTCCACCCTGAAATTAAGTTAGTTTTAATAGGAGTAGAAAAATGAGAGAAACAAGTCAGTGAAAGTTTGAGCAAATTCCGATTAAAAATAAGGAAGTTAGGATTTTTGAAGTTGTGATCAATCAAACACAAATTGGCAACTCTATGACGTATCATGCGAGCTCAACTTCCATTTGCTCAGTACTAAAAAAATCTAAAATTTTCATTTTCCCTCAAGAAAAATTTCAACCATACATGCACCCTAAATATAATAATTGCAAATATGTTTCTATACTCCCTCTGCAAGGAACAAATATATATTCCGTCATCAATAACGAAGAAAACATGATTTTATGGAATATTATGCACAAAGCAAATGAAGGAGAGCTCGTATAATAAGTCACAGAGTTGCCAATTTGTATTTGATTGATCACAACTTCAATAATTCATAACTTTCTTATTTTCATTCAGAATTTGCTCAAACTTTCACTCACCTGATTTTCTTATTATTCTGCCTCTATCGAAACAAACTTATTTTGGGGGTGGACTTTCCCTTTAAAGTGATTTTCTCTTTAAAATTCTCTTGAGTATATCATTTATCCATGTAGGTCATTTTTATTTAATGTAATCACATTTAAAGCTCCTTAAAGTTAAAGTTCCTTGTTACAAATTACTTTATTCACCTTTTATAAGTAATTTTGTTTCAATAGTCAGAATGGAAATTGCATACTTTACATGTTGTTAGATAGCGCAAGCCATAATGTTTGTCCTTCTTTATAGCAAGTAGCAACAACTAATTTATGCAATTTGGATTCTACCCATTGAGATACATTTATTTGAAATAGATGATGAAATAATCTATCATGGCACTTTACAAAGGTATAAAATATGCATAAATTTGATTACATTACAAAATTGGACTATTCCAAAACTCTAATTGAGTAAATCTAGATGTGCTTTTCCCTATGGCTTCCAGTGTCCAGACTGGTAGGATGCAAATGCTAATGTGGTTAGATTAGCAAGTGTGCGCATGTACAACCTTTAAAAATGACGCCTGGAATACTCCCCAGGGAGTGGAGAATGTTCATACATTGTGTGCGGGTAAGCCTGAATCCAATGACCAGGGTAATAATACAGTATCTGTAAAGTGCTTTGAGAGGGCCTTCGTTCCTGAAAAGCGCTATGGAAGAACTAGCTATTATTATTATTACCGGTATTATTATTTCTGTAAAATGTGCTCTGTAACTCATCTTTATGTGGTACAGGTCAAAGTGACTTTCTCTTTCAATTCTTCTCTAGCACTTCCTTTGTTCATAACTTCATGCCTGAATGGATTTCTTTTAAGGGTGTGGAATTTGTGTGGGTGAGGAAACAATTCGTCGCTGTTTTCACGAAGTGACGGTAGTGAAAACAAATTGCATTCACTTTGCGTGACGATTTTCCTCTCTACCGTCACTTCGTGAAAACAAGGACGAATTGTTACTGTACAGTACATGTACTGTAGGAAGGAAATACAATCATGACTACCAGGACATGTACAGTTTAGATTAAAGATAAAGATCAGTTCTGATCATGTGATTACATTGTGAAAGAAACATTGTGGAATCGATCAGAAAAGGTTGATCATCTAGCATATAAGTATTGGTGTGCACTCTTCGTAAAGTTACAAGCACTGTACACAGAAAGATGTATGGGACTACGCATGCATGCGTGACACGTGCGTAATATCTATCACGTCCAAATAGATAACTAATTTACCAAATATATCAATAAGTAGGCGGCTTCTCAGCATAATTTGTACCATCACGTACAGTATTAGTCAAGACATATTCTTTCACATGATTGGTAATATTAAAGAGCTACCATTTCATTTTTTGAAAGGGGGGGGGGGGCGTTTCCAAAACTGGTCTTTACCTTTAAGAGAAGGTTATCATAAATAGTTTACTGATGACAAAGTGTATTATCTTTTACATATTGTTCACTCATGGGACAAACTGTGACCTCCACAGTTGACCTGTCATCGCCGCTTACATGTACATGTA